GTCCGTTTCCGTCGACAGTCCAGCCTCGAATCCTCTTCTTCATGGAGAAGTACCCACTTCTTCCTTCGTTGAAATTGGCGGCGCTAGTCTTCATTTCCATCGGAATTGATCCCCGTCGATAGTTGATCTAGGTCCGTATAACAGTCAACGGACCTTCACAACAGTTTTTAGTCACCTCTGCTCCTGCAGTACTGACTAACCAACTGTCATCGATGTTGATCGTCGTATTGGAAAATAGCGGCACTGCAGCGTCGATCGCTATCCAGGCCTCTCGGGTGTTTACGGCGCTCGGTGCCTCGTCACTTCGGTACTCGCTTCGGTACTAGCTTGTTTACGTCGTAGCTCCAACCTTGTCGCTCCAATGCATAGCCTCGTACCCACTATGACTCGCTCTGTCTTCGTTACTCGTCCAGCGTTACGCATTTTGCACAAAATAAATTCATAAAAATTAGTACAATTTTCATTCATTCACACATAACATTCACGACGCTGGATTCGAGCCTGGAATATTATAATACCCCAAGTATTGGGCGTCGAATAAAAATTACCACGTTGCAAGCTATAAAAATAAAATATAATTTGAACTAAAAAAAATACAAAAATTACATATTTCGAAAAAAATCTGCCAACCTTTCAAATGTCCTGAACCGCGTTTTGATTGGTGAACCCCTTCCATTGTTAAAAGCAGTTTGAAAATACACACACACAGGCACACACACATAGGATAGCTAAATAAACGAAAGGCTTAAAATTACTTGAAATAAATTCAGGAAAATTAAAAAAAAATAACAATTTATTCAACAAAATATATGTCGGCGGTCGATATTAATTTTTAACAAAAATTATTAAAAAAGAAAAACGTCGTAACTTAAATTTGCGATTAAGTTTAATAATATTAAAATTAATAAACGTCGTTGTCTCAACTTCAAATTCATACACTCACATTCATACATCGGCAACCACACTATGTAATAACAGCATTACACAAAAAAAAATAATCGTAAAGCGTTGAATCCTCGCGTATTATTTTGTTACTCAAAATATTTTACAAAATTACAACGTGGACTCTAAACGCTGGATTCAACACTAAACAAGAACGTCGGCTTACCAAGAAATTGAGCGTCGTCCCCATCTTAGCAGCTTGGAAAGCTTCGAGCGGTCGACTCAAATAAATCATGAATTTAGAAAATAAATACTCAATACAAATTACAATTAATTTCAAATTAACAACTCGCGACAATACTTCGAAATTAATTTTAGTTTCCGTCGACAGTCCAGCCTCGAATCGTCTTCTTCATGGAGAAGTACCCACTTCTTCCTTCGTTGAAGTTGGCGGCGCTAGTCTTCATTTCCATTGGAATTGATCCCCGTCGATAGTTGATCTAGGTCCGTATAACAGTCAACGGACCTTCACGACAGTTTTTAGTCACCTCTGCTCCTGCAGTACTGACTAACCAACTGTCATCGATGTTGATCGTCGTATTGGAAAATAGCGGCACTGCAGTGTCGATCGGTATCCAGGCCTCTCGGGTGTTTACGGCGCTCGGTGCCTCGTCACTTCGGTACTCGCTTCGGTACTAGCTTGTTTACGTCGTAGCTCCATCCTTGTCGCTCCAATGCATAACCTCGTACCCACTGTGACTCGCTCTGTCTTCGTTACTCGTCCAGCGTTACGCATTTTACACAAAATAATTCATAAAAATTAGTACAATTTTCATTCATTCACACATAACATTCACGACGTTGGATTCGAGCCTGGGATATTATAATACCCCAAGTATTGGGCGTCGAATAAAAATTTACCACGTTACATAATATAGAACTATGACATCTAAATAGTCAGACATTCAATACAAAGGGACACCTAGAACTAAAGCAGGTAAATGTTGTCATAGATGACAATGTAAACTAAAAAGGTTGGGTAAGTGTGAGAATAATGATAATGACATTGAAAAAAATGCAGAAAAAAATTAAAACAATATTTGTGACAAAATGATCGAATACAAGATAAAAAAATTTTTTACTACTCTTTTACAAATTTAAATAATTAATCAATCTATAAATTCAATCAACAAATTGCAAGAAATTAGGACAATTAACAAATTTATTAATTCAATAAAAAGAAGTATCAGAAATCTCGATTGCACGAACGTAGATCTATATTCTATGTTTAATAGTCACTAAAAATGATTAATTATATAGATTTAACGCATTGAGTATCTTCAATGAGAGCGTCAGTGATCAAAATTATTAATTAATAAATAAATTCACTCAATGAAGTCCAAGGGATCTCAATCGTCAACACGTTGATCTATATTTGGTGTTTGTTTATTGCTTAAAACTATTTATTATAAAATATCAACTTATTAAATGAGTTTTAAAATTATTTTAAGTTTCATGGTCAGGAATTCAATGACATAATTAGTTAAATGACTTAATAAATAAAGTTTAAGCGCACACCATGATCAAAATGAAGATCTAAAATCTATTTTTATTAATTATTTAAATTATTTATTATGTTGATTCAGCTAATTAAGTGGTGCAGATAATAAGTTATAGTTGCATGTCCAATTATGAAATAGATTACTCAATTTAATAAGTATAGAGTCCAAGAGCTCAACATGGTTGAAATGCAGACGGTACTTTCCAAAAAATTATTTATAATGTTGATTAAGCTAATTAAGTGACTATTTTAGATATTTTTAGTTAATTTTGCGATTATTTAGTTAATAAATTAATTCATCTATTAAATTCATACAGTCCCAAGGCTCTCTTCTGTCGAAATGTAGATCTACATTTTGCATTTGTTTACTGCTATAAATAATTTATTCAAAAGGCTCAACTCATTGAGTGTCTCTGCTAATCATTTTCAGTCACATGTGCAATAATGAAATTAATTAATTAAAAAAATAGAGTCCAAAGGCTCTCCATTAACGAAATGTAGATCTACATTTTGCATTTGTTTACTGCTATAAATAATTTATTCAAAAGGCTCAACTCATTGAGTGTCTCTGCTAATTATTTTCAGTCACATGTGCAATAATGAAATTAATTATTTAATTAATTAATTAAAAAAATAGAGTCCAAAGGCTCTCCATTAACGAAATGTAGATCTACATTTTGCATTTGTTTACTGCTATAAATAATTTATTCAAAAGGCTCAACTCATTGAGTGTCTCTGCTAATTATTTTCAGTCACATGTGCAATAATGACATTAATTATTTAATTAATTAATTAAAAAATAGAGTCTAAAGGCTCTCCATTAACGAAATGTAGATCTACATTTTGCATTTGTTTACTGCTATAAATAATTTATTCAAAAGGCTCAACTCATTGAGTGTCTCTGCTAATTATTTTCAGTCACATGTGCAATAATGACATTAATTATTTAATTAATTAATTAAAAAATAGAGTCTAAAGGCTCTCCATTAACGAAATGTAGATCTACATTTTGCATTTGTTTACTGCTATAAATAATTTATTCAAAAGGCTCAACTCATTGAGTGTCTCTGCTAATTATTTTCAGTCACATGTGCAATAATGACATTAATTATTTAATTAATTAATTAAAAAATAGAGTCTAAAGGCTCTCCATTAACGAAATGTAGATCTACATTTTGCATTTGTTTACTGCTATAAATAATTTATTCAAAAGGCTCAACTCATTGAGTGTCTCTGCTAATTATTTTCAGTCACATGTGCAATAATGACATTAATTATTTAATTAATTAATTAAAAAATAGAGTCTAAAGGCTCTCCATTAACGAAATGTAGATCTACATTTTGCATTTGTTTACTGCTATAAATAATTTATTCAAAAGGCTCAACTCATTGAGTGTCTCTGCTAATTATTTTCAGTCACATGTGCAATAATGACATTAATTATTTAATTAATTAATTAAAAAATAGAGTCTAAAGGCTCTCCATTAACGAAATGTAGATCTACATTTTGCATTTGTTTACTGCTATAAATAATTTATTCAAAAGGCTCAACTCATTGAGTGTCTCTGCTAATTATTTTCAGTCACATGTGCAATAATGACATTAATTATTTAATTAATTAATTAAAAAATAGAGTCTAAAGGCTCTCCATTAACGAAATGTAGATCTACATTTTGCATTTGTTTACTGCTATAAATAATTTATTCAAAAGGCTCAACTCATTGAGTGTCTCTGCTAATTATTTTCAGTCACATGTGCAATAATGAAATTAATTAATTAATTCATCTATTCAATCCATACAGTCCCAAGGCTCTCTTCTGTCGTGATGTAGATCTACATTTTATTTTTATTTATTGCTAAAATTTATTTATTATGATGATTTAGCTATTCAAGTGTCTTTTATAATTATTTTTAGTTGCTTCGGCAATAATCAGTAGATTAATTAATTTTTTTTTATAATATTTACTTTATTATTCTATAAAAGATGTACGCTCTTAGTCTCTTCATGAATTATTTCCCTAATGTTATATCAGTTAAAATACAGGTTGTCTTTCGGTTCGTCTCAATTGTGCTTACTATTTTATATTCTGCTATTTCCGAACCGTACCTGCCATCTCTTAAGTATTCCTTGAAACTTTCCTCATCCTACATTACCCGTCAGGTGGACGTTGATAAGGGCGGTGACGTTTTGCACACAGTTATTAATGCATACAGATCTTAGGCTGTCTGGAAGTCAACGCTTACTGAGAAAGCGCTGGCTATCAGGGTGATCAGGGTATCTAGTCATATATGAAATAATATATGAGCGTATAGTCATGCAACGCTGAGTAAACTTCTGCATTATGTAAATGTTCTAAATGATCGAAGTCAAAATATAATTCTTGCAAGCCTGGCACATGCGCATCAAGAATTTCCAACTAGAGACCGCTGAGATGTTTTCTTATGATTATTATTTGATTTTCTGTTTATGTTTGCATAGTTTTTACAAATTTTCTACTTAGGTTATGAATTCAAAAAATTTTTAATACAAATATCATTGTTTATAAAAAATACAAAAATGTCCGGAACAATAAGACAATTAGAAGAACGTCAACTGGCTACAGAAGTAACAATAATGCGTTGGTCACCTAAAATGGATCTTCTAGCTGTAGCTAATAAAAAAGGTTAATGTTTTTTTAATACTACATTATAATTTAATTATTGATTATAAATTCAATTGATTAGTTAAGTTAGTGTCAAAATTTTCTTCTTTGTTGTTTTATATTTATAAAAATATAAAATTTTTTAAATTATAAAAATCATAATTTATTGAAAAATTTTATATATTAATTTAAAAAAATTACAATTGCTTTAAATTTTTGATTCAATTTTTGTAAAACCATAATCTATTTTTTCTTTAAATTTATCAAAAATATGATTGGAAAAAAAATTTTTGGAGTTCACTGTTAAAATTTTTTATGATCAAAAAAATTTTTTTTACTCACCCAATGTTTTAAAATTTTTCTTTACAAATTCTATTTTTGACAAGAAATAAAAATTAATCCTAATGATTTATAAATATGATAGTAATTATGAAATTTTTTTGAATTAATTAAAATCTGACGAGTTTTTTAAACTTTCCTCCATAATTCTTAGCACCGATGCACTAATTTATTTGTTAAATGAAACTAAAAATTTTCAGATGTCTGCTGATTTAAGTGTCATTGATTTCCCAATTTTGGGTAAAAATTTATTTTAATATTTTTTTTCATTTTTTAGGTGAGGTATCACTTCATCGTCTAACATGGCAACGTGTCTGGCTAGTGAGCCCGCCAGAAGAATCAGAAACAATTTCAAATTTATCGTGGCATCCTGAAGGTAAATTGTTGGCTGTATCATATGATAATACCAAAGTACTTCATTTGATTGATATTGAAAATAAAAATATAATACATAAACAGAAATATAAACCAAATAATCATATAACATGTATGTCCTGGTTGTCACTATCTCAGCAAGATTCATCAAACGACAATTTCAAACAATTAAATTTACAAATAAATGATGAAAAGTCTTCAATAACACCAACTGGTCCATACTTGCCACCGTTACCAAGTTTGAATCACACGTTTACGCAAGAGTCCGGACGTAAGGAGTTCTCAGTTAAATCTCTTGACATACTATTTTTGGGTCATGAAACTGGTGAAATATCGATGTATGTATTTGGTATGTTTTATTGTGGGAAATTGAAAATTTGCGATGGTGTTGTGTCAGAGATAACAGGTGGTTGCGGCAATCCAATTTGGGTGAGCTGCAGAGTTAACGACAGTAAAACAATAAAAGTATATCGATTATCGTGTTCTTTATTGGAGAGCAGCAGAGCATTTTTAAAAATAGCTCAAATGCAAGCACAAATAGATTATTTGATGGATTATTTATCGCAAACATTGATGGCCATTTCTGAGGCTTGGGAAACTATTTTGCTGGAAATGGATGAGAAGTTAACCCGCTACGAAGACAATGAACCACTGGGTACACTAGCTGCTGATTTTTTAGAATTATTAATGATTGGTATTTCTTCAAGTAAATTGGCTAGCTTTTTACTGCATGATTTGTCGGATAAAGGGTTGAAGAAATTAGCACACAGTATTGATATTTGTTATGGTAATATCCAGGTAATTTTTTTTATTTAAAATTTATTATTTCTTTTATTGATAGATTAATTATTTTTGTTTTAATTTGTTCTGGTAGAAACTGGTGATGAAACATTTGAATAGTGTCGGTATGGCATTAGCTTATCAACTTGGAGAAATGCAAGGCATGGCGAGATTCGGTGGTGACTATAAAGCACTAGGGTTGGAAAATGATAAACAACTAACAATGGCATTACATGCAGTTGAAACATTTCTGGCTAAGTCGTCTGAAATTGAGCAGGTTATTGATCAAAGTATGAAAGAATATAAATCATTTTTCAGGTAAATTTATTTTTTTGCTATAGTTTTTGTTGAAAATTTAGACTTGAAAATTTGATAAGTTGAATAATATTAAGGAATAATATAATATTTTTTACACTTCATTATAATTATCTACTCTAAAAAAAAAATTTCCTGGTTTAAGAATTTTTCTGCGCAAATCAAGACGATAAAGTTCTTCAAATTTTTTTTCTTAATTCAAGTTAATTTTTTTTTTTTATGTATGATAAACTATTAGAGACTATACAAAATCAATATGAGTGATATTTTCAAGTATCCTCCTGCCGTACGCTTTTGAGTGTAATTAAAAAAAAAAATAAATTATAACTTAAGGACGTTTAATCGTTAAGCTAGAGTCAAATGAGTACTAACTTTTTATAAAATTTATTGGAGTCTTGAGAAAAATTTTAAAGTATATCAATAATCTTATGATGATTTATAATTTTTTTTTATTTACCTCAAATATTTTTTAGGCATTTATTTTAAAAAATCAGTAAATATAAATTAGTCATTGATTTGACGTCCATCTTTATTGTTTATTAAATTTTACAAATCTGTCATTTCTAACCATGTGATCAACTGTATTCAGGTGCTTGTTTTTAGTACGGTCAAAAAACAACTAAAATAATTTTAATTATACCAAATAAAATAATAAATAATTAATTCAAACGCTTGTCAACACGATCTTTTTGATTATTCTCATTCTGATTGGTTGAAAGTGAATATAATATACATAAACGACACATAAATATATCATGACAATAAATATCTTCTCTAATAATATAAATATTATAATTTTAAATTTAAAAAAATGCTCATCTGCCGTAAGGTTGTATGTCAAAAATCTAATTTTTAATCGTTAATAACTGCTTGAAATAATCGATAACGGATTTTCAATTTTTCAGGGAAGATCACAATATGATTAAACTTATGAAAACTAAAAAATATAAATTTATATCTTACGCATGAACGTCCTTAAAAAACTAAAAAACTTGCTATAATAAAAAAACCAAACCAAGAAGTGTAAAAAAATTTTTAATAATTCTTAATAAGTTGGAAATAAGAATAGAGTGAGGAACAAAAAAAAAAAAATTCATTATATTGTAAAAAAAAATTGAGGAGATAATTCTTAATAAGTTGGAAATAAGAATAGAGTGAGGAACAAAAAAAAAAAAATTCATTATATTGTAAAAAAAAATTGAGGAGTGAATGGTATTAATTATTTCAAATATTTTATTGGTAGAAATGTTTGTAGGAATTAAATTATTAAAAAAATATTTTAAAGACACTGTTTTTTTTTTTTTTTTTTTTTTTTTTCAGAATAAAATACTTTTTTTTTGTTTGTAATCCCTCAATTCTTATTGCAAACTTTTTCAAAATTACGTTCAATTTTTTAGTTTGGTTTTCTATTGAAGGGTGTTTTTTAATTTTTTAAATAACAAATCTTGTCAAGATAATAGGATAAACTTATTAAATTATTTCATTGTCATAGGTTCTTAAGACGTGTGCAAATTTTTAAAATAATAAGACCTCTTGAAGTTGGTGAAAATAAAGTTGAAAGATTCCATTACATTAATAAAAAAATTAACTCGATTTGAGAGAAAAATTCTTGAACTAAGAATATCATTTTGAAGAGTTTAATCATCTTAAATCAAATGAAAAATTCATACTTTTTCGATGATTATCACTTTTAATTGTTTTTTTATTTCTTTTGTTTATTTTGATGTTCTTTGTACATGTTTAAAAATTCCCAGAATGAAGTTTCGTGAGGTCAATACAGCTTGAATAACATTTTTATATTTCGATGAATAAAAATAAGTAGAAGACAAAAAAAAGTTACTCTTAAAATTTCAGAATTTACAAAAAGTTTTTTTTTTTATATGGGAAAAAAATAAAAAATTAGAAATGGTAGTTAAAAAATTAATGCTTTTTTTTTTTTTTTTTTTTCCCCAATAGCTCTGAAAATTTTTTTATCTATTTTTTACTTCAAAATGAAACTTAATAAAATATCCTGATTAGTTAATTTTTGAAATATTTATAGCCATTTCAAAGTAAAATGCCTTTTTTTTTAATTTGTAACTTTTTTGGGTGGGCAAAAGAATTAAAAAAATCCTGAGAAACAATTTTAATAGAAAAAATTTGAAAAGTGATTTACCTGCAGGCCATTCCTGAAACTTACTGCTTTTTTCGAACTCGAAAATTTTCTAATTGGTTAATTATTGAGATCTTCGAGCTAAAAAATTTAAAAGTTATATTAAAAAAATGATTATTTAGAAATTTTTAAATGGCTATAACTTTTAAACATCTAGTTCGATTTCGATTCACTTGACATCATTCGATTGAATGACATCATTCAATTGAATGCAAAAAAATTGTTTATTAGGTCTTGAGTCGATAGATAGAAAAATTTTAAAGTTATCTCAAAACACGGTTATTCATAAATTTTTAAATGGCTACAATTTTTGAGCGCGTCGTTCGATTTTGACTTACTTTGCACCATTCAACGCAGTTTTTTAACTACAAAAAAGTATCTCTGATGTTTGGAGTTGATTAGTCAAATATTTTGAAAGTTATTTAGAAAAACTTTTATATAAATTTTTTTTTGGTTTTTATTTTTTGAATATTTTTGAAACAGCGACCGATTGATTTCAAAATCTAATCAGCCTGAAGTATCAATGAACATTTTCGAACGCCGTGTCGCTTATCTCGATCGGTTGATTCGTTGTAAAGATATCGGACAAAATTTTATTTACTTACACACACATGTGGCCGGACGTCCAGTTGAAAACAATCGGAACGGCTTGCTAAGACCTCAAAACCTGGAGATTTGATGAAAACTCGCATTCTCAAAATCGGACGGAAATCTATAACTTTCTACTTTTCAAAATTATTAGTTTTCAAAACGAGATATAATAAAATATAAAATTTTAAATAAAACTTACATATTTAATTTTTTTCAGATGGTTGTACGTTGAAATAGCAAAATTGACCGACGAAAAAATACAACAAGATGCAAGCAAAATATCACAACAAGAATTAACATTTATTGCGGAATTTTTACTAAATTTTGACACTAGCAAAAATACGAAAGCCAACGATACAATGAACCAAAGTGCGAGTACATTAACTATAATTGATAATACCAACGCTAGTACCAGCAATAGCAATAACAATGACATTGATAATAATAATTCAAGCACGGGACGACGGAAAGGAGTAAATTTAGAAAAATTAGGACAGTATTTACGCCGAGAGCCATTGAAAATTCCATTATCCGTCGAAGGTAGTGAATGGGGTGCTATGTTACAAGAAAATAAATGTTTACTCGAGCATCCATTAATTATCAAGCAAAATTTGAATATGTCACTTTTACAATCTTATGATGCTGTTGTTGATGCTATTGATAAAGTATTTCTTGACGCTTACAAAGGACTGGTGAATCATTTCAAAAACAATTCCATTGAGCTTACCAATAAGTCACACAAAAATGATAACATCAATTACGATCATAATCATGACAGCATATCTTCACAAATTGTTGATGATAATGGTGAACTTTTTCTTGCTACTACCGATAGCAATGGTAAAATTTTGAAAATTTTTAAAATAGAAGCTTATGAGTGTGATGATGTTTATCGTGAAGACTACGATAATGATGATGATGATGATGATGATGATGATGATGATGATGATGATGATGGTGATGAAAAGGTAGAAATGGATTTTAAAGTTGCAATGGTTGATTTGGATAATCGACAAGGTAATTAAATTATTAATTTCTCATTCCTGGTTCAGATCATATGAGGTTTCATGATTTTGTAATTTTGATTTTATTTACAGATTCGTTCTCAAAAACCTCAACTGATTTAAAGATAGTGGATTTACAGTTCTATTCAACAAGTTACTTGAGCTTATTGGTATTAAATACAAATAATAATACTACTTGTTTAATACAGTTGCCAATTAAAGAAGACAAGTTATTTGATAATACCGATGAGATCATTTATTCTATTAATGATTTCATTGGGAGTAATTTACCGAAATCATTCAATGGAATAACGGCTAATAAAATTGTTGTATCAGGACAACGTAAAGTCGCTGCTGTTTTGAGTGAAAATAATCGTAAGATTCGCTTACTAGAAACTGAAGTTGAGCCAGATGAAGACGATGACGATGAGGAGGATGAGGATGATGATAATAATGATAACATTAACTTATCGAAAAGTATTAAGAGCGATGATGTCGACTTCAATGATACACGGGAAGATGTTTCTATGGACATGTCTAGTGCTCATGAAAATTTATTGTAAATAAATTGTTAAGAAAAATAATTTTAAAAATTCATTATAATACTTACAAATAACCACTTTACACCCACTAAGGTAAGTGATTTCTATACTGATCAGGTCCCCTTTATCGGCCATAGACTGAAAATCGTATAAATTTTGTCAAAAGTACGTAAATAAAAAATTAGTAAAACTGTTAACCCTACTAAGCCATCTCTGAAACTTCCCGCTAATTTCAAATGCTAACCATTCAAAATATCGCCTATTACAAAGTTTTTGTGATTTTCGAGCTCAAAAATCTAGCTGGTATTCAGTAACAACCTTTTTGTAAAAATATTTGAACTACAATAACTTTTAGATGAATAAACCGATTTTTAAATATTTGGCGGCATTTAGCGCAGTTAAGAGAGCTTTACAAAAATTCTCAAAAAGAAATTCGATCTGATTAACAATTGAAAAACTATACTAAAAAACATTTCCTTTTCAAGCACTAATAGTTAAATTATTAAACTTAAAACAATCCGTAAAGAGATTTTAAAATTACTAGAAAAAATCTGGAAATCGGTTGACCGCGAAGGTGGACCCTAGAACTTCCCGCTAAGTTGGAATTTGAAGCGCCTTAAAATGTGTTTTTTGGTTTATATTTGACCTCCAATCTTCAATCTTCGATTTCGAAAATATTACTTAAAAATTAAAATTTCTGTAATTTAGTTGATTCGTGAGAAATTGTAACATTCACTACAATCTGTAAAATATAAAAAAACTAGAAAAACGGCTGACCCCAAAGGCCCTCCCTGCAACTTCCCGCTAATTTCATAACTAAACGCTCAAAATTGCAGTTTCTTAGCAGGACGTTAAAAATACAAAATAGCTTTTAGTTACCTAACTTCATTTTTCTTGTGAGATTAATTTTCTAACTTCCAAAAATTTTCCAACTATAAATTCTCAGTACACATCAATAACTCCACAAATTTTTTAAAATTTGCAATTCTCAGCAGGAATCCGAAAATAAAATACTCACAGAATAAGAATTTAAAAAAATATTTATTTTTTTGCGAAGCACGAAATGCTCACTTAAATTATTTTTCTTTGGTAGACATATGTGACAATGAGTCATAAACATATCAGTTATTTTAATTATCAATCTGTTCTTAGATTGTCATAATTATCTCCAACGTACAACTTAGATAACCCAAAATACTTGTTAATGTTATACAGATAATTAACAAAATTAATTGTAATAATAGAATATATGGCGATTTAGTAAAAAACCAGTTGGATCCAAGCTCAAGTCCTAATATAACAGCGGTTATGATATTAAGCATTGCCCAGCGAATAAATACATTTTCCCTGAAATTTTGATTGATAGTTTACATATTATTTCTCAATTTTAATTGTCATAATTATTTATTGAATACTTACACACTAAGACCTAATTCGCATACAACCAATAATAGAATCATTTTAACTGCACGCTCGAAATTAACGTCTCTGAATTCTATAAAAATAAGTTATTTAAAAATTTATAAAATGAAATAGAGCGATGTAAAATATGAAAAATGAAAAATAAATACCGTTTATTATTGGCATTATTAGCTGTTGAAATATTTGAACTGCCATGTTTAATCCAGGTTGTTTTGTAAGAACGTTGAAATGATTGTAATATGCTTTTAGTAAGCAAAGACCTTCCAAATACTGATGCAAAGTTATTTTATAATTGCTGTTCTTTTTACATCATTCATGATTTTAATACAGGTAATATCATTAATCATAAAATTCTATAGTTTCCTGTTTGCTTACACTACAATATAATACTATAAACTGACCTTAATTCTAAGAGATTCCCAAATTTTGGTTGACAAGTTTGCATACCATGGGAATGACGGTAGCCATGTTTGGCCCAAAAACGGAAATGATGGTGACCTCCACCTGTTTTCATGATCCCAAATCTTGAAATTGAGCTGTTTTGTTCTTGATACTTATTTTCAAATTTTTATAGGGCTAGAAATTTAAATTGTGCGCCGTGTGCGCGCTTTAATCATAATATCACCAATAAAGAATCAGGAACCATTTTTTTTTCCGATAAGTTTCAATACTAATTAATCCAGGTAACATGTGCATGAGCAAGATTTAGGTACCAGTGTTTTGAGCAAAACCCCTAGTTGCTAATGTCTTTTTCTACACATGGGTCTTGCTCAAGTTCATGTAGAAAGAACTGGTTCAAGATTTATATATAACTGACTCAAGACATTTTGTGTAAGAATATGAGACAAGTCTAATGCAAGGTGCATTGAAAAACTTTCTGACGGATTTTTTGAATCAGAAACTCACAACAGACACTTACCCATGACTTGCTCAAGTTTGCTCAAGATCCGTAATTTTCAGTGATTTGTTCATTTCTAAAGCATTTGTGAACCAAAAACTAACAGCAAATGTTGAAACGTGACTTGCTCAAGATGCAGGATGCAATATATATTTTATAGCACTTTTTCCCCTCCATTACTTGAAGATGTATTGATTCAGTGGTGCTCATTTTAAAATAATTTTGTCTTGATCGATAAAACAGTAGGTCTATACTCTAAAAGGTTAAGCTGAATGAGATCCACTGATCATATAGTAAATATAAGAGGGGTAGAATGATGCGAACGGTCATTCGAAAACATTTGATCTTGAGCAGATTCAGCAGATCTTGAGCAAGTCTTGCACAAGTATATTCAGCATGCTTCTGGTGTCAGTCTTTCTCAATAATTTATATAGTTAGTTTATCGATAAGCACCTTCAGATTTTTTCAATTTTCTTACACAATTCTTGAGCTATAATCTGGCCAAAAGTTTTTGTACAAGGCTTGTTCAAGACTTGTCAATTGAATTTGCTACAAGTATCTGGAGCAAGACCCATAGGTAGAAAAAGACACTAACAACTATTGAAATTGAGACCAGATTTGCTCAAACCTTGAAAAAGATTGCTATATGGAAAACAACTCCAATTCAGTCATGAATTTTTAATTATAGGAATTTTCCGAATTTTTGAAATTTAACATTTGATTTTGAATTATTAAAAAAAAAAAAATCATTATTTTAAAATCAATAAATATTCATAGACAAATTTTTTCTATAAGACTCTTATTAATTTTATTTACAATAAAGAACTATGAAAATAAAGTTAGCCGACATCTAAAAATTTGTATTATTTTTTTAATTAAAGAATTATCAAAAAAAAATAAATAAAAAATTTCATTTGTTAAAAACTTCAAAAACTACAAGTGCAATTTTTTAAAAATATTTTTTAGTTATAATTTAATAAATTAAGCAAAATAAAAAAATCAAAAATGTCGGCTAACTTTATTATTATTAAAGAACTCTGTTTTGATTCACTAACATATTAAAATTTCTTTTAAAATTTCTCTTTAATCTCTGTTTAAAAGACCTGAAAACTAAAATCTTTGAGATTTTAATTATTATTATTATTAATTCACTCAAACATAGCCTGTCAAAAATATTAACTGAAAAATTTATATTCAAATTTTTTTTTTTTTTTGAGTAGTCTGTTAGTTTCATGTAAAAAATGAACTAAAGTACTAAAAATTTTTCTCTACAGTTTTACCTGAAATTTTCATATTTTTATTTTTAACTTCAATTTTATTTGTGAAATTAAGTATCTGACAATAATCTGAATATTATTGTGCCAAATCTGTAAGAGAAATAAAAAAATTTGAAAAACGGTTAATCCTTTAAACCACCCTAAAACCCCGCTTTTTTCGAGCTTAATACACGGTCAATTCAATCAATCACTTTATTTTTGTGTTTTTTGAGCTCAAAAATCTACGAATTGTTTTAAAACAATATTTTTTTGGAATATTTAAACTGCAATATATTTTTGACCCTACAGTCAATTTTGATTTTCTCGACGGATTTTAATTTAACGGATATTTTTAAGCCAAAAAGTGCATACAGAGTTTTGAGACGATTGGTCGAATAGTTTGAAAGTTATTTCAAAATAATTTTTGCTCAAGCATCACACAAAAAAATATTGACTTTTTGGTAGATTTTACTTTAAGTGTCAAAAATTAATAATCGTCAACTTAAATTCAACAAAACTTAGCAAAAAAAAAAAATTCGTGCCACTTGGATGGTTTTCATTCCTTGAATATTTTTAAATGGTTTGACCAATTAACTTCTCAATCTAATCAGATTTAAGTCTCAACCTCGACATTAAAAAATTATAAGTATGATATTGTAGCCGACATTCAACAATTTTTTATAAACTTATAAAAATTTTCGTTATGACAAAAATATCAATACAAAAAATAATAATCGAGGAAATTAAAAAAATTTCCTACTGAACAGTTGTTAATATCTTTTATACAAACATATAGATTGAAAATTTGTTGAAAAAAGTTTTGGAAAATTAACTGTCTGCTAATCTTACTCTCATCAAAAAACTTGAGTGTAAATTTTTTTTACTAATCTTTTAATTTTAGTTTTTGATAAGTGTGAAATTTACTTATTTAACAACTTTTATTATAATTATTACTCATTACATACTATGCGTGACATTAATTTATCCCTGTTCGTGTTGCTTTTGTATTATTGGAAATGTGTATTTTTGGACATTTGAATAAATGGATATGGAAATTTTTAAAAATGGACATTTGATTTTTTGGAAATAATAATAAAAGTACTCAAGAAAATTAGACATTAATATAAATGGACATTAATAAAAAAGGAAATAATTATAAATGTACAACTGCACTTATGGCCAACTTAAAAAAATGAAATCCCTATTTTTGAAAATATCTCCAAATGGAAATAAAAGTATTTGGTAAAGAGTTCAAATGAACAAATAGATTAATGGACATTTTCTTAGATAAACATTTATGAAAATGGATAATAATATAAAAAGACATCAGTAAAAATGGTTAAAAATACAAATGTACAATGGAATAAAAGGAATAGTCACTTAATGAACATATGATTTTATGAACAATTGAAAAAATGGACATTTAAATTTTAGGAAAAGTGAATAAATGGACATTTGTATAAATGCCCATCAATAAAAATGAACATTTAAACAAATAAACTTCGATAAAAAAAATACTTACTTAAATGGAAATCAGTAAAAATGGACATTCATAAAAATGGAAATTAGTAAAAATAGACATTCGTGAAATTGGACATTTCTAAAAATGAATAAATGATTTAAATTTAATTACAAATAATTATGAAGTTGATAAATTATAAAATTAGGGTTTTTGGTGTGCGTAAAGGAAAAAAGATGTCAGAAAAGCTGGGAACTCGGCTACCAAGACATCTTCTTCGTAGGTTTTTACGGAAAACGATAAAACATCAAATAGCTCATCAAATATTACAAGAAGATGCCTTTTGGTAGCCGAGTTCCCAGCTCTTCTACTGACATCTTTTTTCCTTTACGCACACCAAAAACCCTAATTTTATAATTTATCAACTTCATAATTATATTTGTAATTAAATTTAAATCATTTATCCATTTTTAAAAATGTCCAATTTCACGAATGTCTATTTTTACTAATTTCCATTTTTATGAATGTCCATTATTTACTAATTTAGATTTTTATGAATGTCCATTTTTACTAATTTACATTTTTATAAATGTCCATTTTTACTGATTTCCATTTAAGTAAGTATTTTTTTATCGAAGTTCATTTGTTTAAATGTTCATTTTTACAAAATTCATTTTTATTGATGGGCATTTATACAAATGTCCATTTATTCACTTTTCCTAAAATTTAAATGTCCATTTTTTCAATTGTTCATAAAATCATATGTTCATTAAATGACTATTCCTTTTATTTAATTGTACATTTGTATTTTTAACCATTTTTACTGATGTCTTTTTATATTATTATCCATTTTCATAAATGTTTATCTAAGAAAATGTCCATTAATAATCTATTTGTTCATAACAACTCTTTACCAAATACTTTTATTTCCATTTGGAGATATTTTCAAAAATAGGGATTTCATTTTTTTAAGTTGGCCAGTACATTTATAATTATTTCCTTTTTTATCAATGTCCATTTTTAAAAATTTCCATATCCATTTATTCAAATGTCCAAAAATACACATTTTCAATAATACAAAAGCAACACGAACAGGGATAAATTAATGTCACGCATAGTAATTCCATAATTAGCGGTTTTTTTTTTTAATTTAAAATAGCATTAGACTTATGCGACATCTAGATAAATTATCGACATAAGAGGCGAGGTACAGCTTGTGATATGTTATATCACGGTTTACTTGGTCGCTGGAGGCGCCATCACGCGAGAACAAATTATGATAATTTATAGCGCGAGAAATTCAGAAACTTATAAAATAATTTAGAGAACGCTAAGGAAATTCCCATTAATATTTTAGTCTCCTGGTCACTCTCTAGAAATTTCCCATCCATTGTAATTAGAATAAGTATCGTAAAAAGATTAGAATACTATGGTAATAGGATTAGAGTAAAATATATGGCTATAAGTTTAGTATTAGAAATGTTTGTTAAATGTTGTAGGCTGATAAGTTTTACTAGACTCATTACAAAATATATTTTAAGTACTATATTTTATATTTTAAGTATT